AAAAGCTCTTCCTGTGGTGGGTTTCGTATGTGGTCACCCACACTACCAGCTTCCCAGCACTTCTCAAGGGTAGGTTTTTATTTTCCCAGTAGTTGACCAAAGCATGTTTCTTTCAATCCTCTAGCACCTACCTGGGTGCAAGGTATGTAGTCCAGTTCCAACCCCACTGCTTTCAACTTCTTGACACAGTCCAGAGAAGAATCCAGAGCCCTTCATGATTGGAACATAGGAAAGATCCAAACGAGCTGGGTGTGGTGGTGCATGCCTGTAATCCCAGCATCTGCACAACGGAGGCAAGAGGATCAATGTGAGTTCGAGGCCAGCCTGAGCTTACATAGAAAGTTCAAGGACAGCCTGGACTTTGCAGTGAGACCCTGTCTCAAAAACAAACAAACAAACAAAAAACCACCCAAAATGACTTGTGAGGGCAGTAAGGATATGACACCCAAAATGACCCAGCCTGGTACTTTATTTCAAGCTGAACATGCCATCAGCTAGGGTAGACCTTGCCCCAGTGATAATGGACATTAGAACAGGTTCAGCGCAAGTTGACAGAAGAGACCTTCGATTAAAGAGACAGAAAGAAGAGCACAGCTCTCACAAAGATGAAGCTAGTCCTCTTGACAAAAGGGGAGACAGGGAAAGGGCTTCAGCTTCAGAGAATGACGGAGAAACAGGTCTGAAGAAGTGGATCAGGGTGGGGATACAGCTTAGGGCATAGCACCTGCCTGGCAAGCACCTGTCAAGCACAAGGTTTGAGTCCCACTATCAAAAGAAAGAAAGAAGAAATGGATCGGATTGATCCATTGACAAACTAACAGAGACCAGTTTTATGGGGTGCCGTGGTCGGCTAGGGCTGGCTGACCGTTATGATGCTGCTTTTCTAGCGCTGGAGGAATCTTCATGAGTTTGCCTGGGACAGTCTTGGCTTGTGAGGCACTGCTGGGATGTGTGGGGAACCACCTGGAGGGCTCTCCTAGAATGCAGAGCAATTATCTCCATTTTGGCTGAACCTGGCCCTATCTCCACCCACTGATACTTACAGAGCTGGCCAGGCCATTTCCTCTCCCCTTGCTAATGGTAATCCCTGAAGACTCTCAAAACATGCTAAGCTGGGTGTGGCCAGAAGAAACAGCCATAGCTCAGGATAAGAGGCTACAGCTTCCTAGAGCAGAAAAGTCTGCACATCAGAGCTGAAGCACCACCCCCTAAGCATTAAACGCTACCTCCATTGTGCTGTGCAGATCGGGCTCTGTGTGGCCTCCTCTCTGCATGTCACATAGGTGCTGTCTGGCCACCTACCCTGCACAGCTCACAGTACTCACGTGTTCCGGCCATTCTCAGTCGCTCATCCTCAGGCCATCCCTTCTTCACGAATAACATCCAGGTTAGGTCTTGGGTTGAGGCACTTGTACCGATAAACCTTCCTCCTGGCCAGACTTAGGCCCCCCTTGGTCTCCCATGATTATAAATATGTCTCAGCGTCTCTATGTTCCTCACGGGTTTCACTGGAAGTGGTAGACAGAATCAACGTGGTAGAATTCCAACACCTTTTCCATGGGACTACAAATACAAACTTCCCAGCTGGAGAGGACGGGAAAAGGATCGGTGAAGGTGACCCTCAATTCGGGGTGGCAAGATTTCTGGTGTGGCTAAATGTCCCTGCAAATCTCTTGGTGTCCTCAGTCTTGAGTCGTAATTAAATTTAGGGCTAATAAAGCTGGTTTTGCCTACTTTTCCTAAATGATTAACAAACCCTTCTCCAAAGTGTAAAGGTAATAAAGGACGCAAAGTGAAGGTCAATGCTGGCTGTACTGTAAATTACCTACTGGACACCCACAGGACCAAGTCCAGAGTCACAGCTTTTAGCCAAACCGGGGAGCGTGGTATAAGCAGGTGATGGTCAAGGCTGAGCTAGGAAGGAACAAGGTTCTAACACACACAGCCACAGAGGCGGACTGCGAACTCTGGGATGGGAGAAGCAAACAGCATCACAGGCCAAACGATACAGCTACAGAATCAAGCTCAGAGACGGAAACAAGTGGTCACCAGGGGCCGAGGGCAAGGAGGACAGGCAGGCAGTTACCGTTTGCACTGCGGATCTTCAATTTGGAACCATAAAGTGACTGGAAAAGGACGACAGTGACAATGCACAACCACATAAATGCACCTCAGAAATGGTCACAGTGGGGCGCGGGGTGGGGTGGCTCAGCGGTTAGCACTTGCCTTGCACATGCAGGGCCCTGGGAGACCCCAACATTGTCAAACCATGGGTGCAAACTGGTAAAATGGTTAATGCTATATGTGTATTTTACAAATTGTTTCATTTCATTCTTTGAGACAGCGTCTCATTTGACTGATTTCAAATTCCCAAGTTCAAGTGATCCTTCCCATCTCAGCCCAGGTGCCACAACCACTCGGTGTGTCACAAAGTTTGTAATACTGGGAGTTGAACCCAGGGCCTTTACACTGAGTGACACTGCCAGCCTTTCTTTTTATGTTGAGACAGCGTCTCCCAAGGGGCTCAAGCTAGGCTCCAAATCACAATCCTTCTGTCTCAGCCTCCCAGAGTGCTGGGATTACAGACATGGGCCACCGTACCACACAGCCAGCACTTTTTAAATACAGCTAGCCACACAGTAAATAACTAACATTATCGCTGCTTTTAAGAGAGCTCAGCAGATGAAATTATCTACAGATTAATTTTTTTTTTTATCGGTACCGGGATCGAACTCACAACCGCCTGCTTGCAAGGCAGGTGCAGGTGCTTATGCCGCTGAGCTAAATCCCCAGCCCCCAGATTAATTTATTAATAGACTAGAAATGCTGGTGAACAGGTATCTCAGCTAGATCTAAACAGACAGATAAAACAGACAACCGGCTTTAGCAATGATTAAATGCATTTTATAAACCAAAACTAGAAGCTAAGTGACAGAGTTCTGAAGATGCTTCTGTCAAAATTTACACTAACAAATTACCAAATGTTACATGCCAGGACTGGGGGTTATAGCAATCAAGATAAACACCCTACTCTCCAGGAGCTTAGAATGCACAGGAGTCAAAACACAGACAATTATGGAAAATTAATTGGTTCAAGCAACAACAAAAATGCTTCTTTTCATCTAACTTTACATTTCACTGATAGATGTTAGCAGCTGACACTGCTTTTAACAATTTGGACTTTAAAGAACTCTAACTATGCTTCTCTGTCCTATTTTACTGTCCCCTGATTCCTCCACCCCATTCATCCTGCCCACTTCTCTTCTATAAAAAACAGCCATTCAACGTCACTCTGCAGTTCTTCCAATTGGTGGAAATCACAATTAAAAACTGAGTCACACAGTATGAGACTGCTAATAATGGAAGTTCTGACCTACAAAAGTAGCAATTTTATGACCCAATATCACAATTCTTAAGCCCTTGTTTTATAGAGCTGTAAGCATAAATCTGAGCGCTGTCTTCCACACGCAAAACCTAACAGCCAGTATGATCCAAATCAAATCTGTCTTATTTATTCAGATAGTAAGGTTTCGTTTTATTTGGAAGTGAAACTCTGAAGCCAGTTTTAAAGTGGCCAAACTGTGGTTGCTTACTGTGACTCACTGAGCACTTAGTTCCAAGTCTCACCTCAAGGCTCCAATATGCAGCAAAACTGACTGCCGAGAACAGGGAGGAACAAACTGCTGCTGCCCACCGGATCAGCGTCTAAAACCTAGAGCAGAGAAAGGCAGAGCACACTGGAGGATCCCATGGACATGAACGCTGGAAGATACATCAATCAGTGGTTTAAAAACAGCAGGATCTTTTGGCCACCTAGGGTTCAGGTAAAGGAACTGCCTGGGAAAGGTGATGGGTTCCGCCCACAGCGCCGCACCTGCCCAACATGGCGCTGGACCCTAAAGGCGACAGTGTGTCCTCCCATACTGAGTTCTGTGTTCTTCTTCCAAGTCCGATTTGAACTTCCTGCTTCCAAGTGCACCAACATTCCCCTAATCAGCTGTCAAAACGTCATTCCGCCAGCCCCTTCAAACCCCACCCCGTCAAACCGAGTAAAGCTGCTTCTTTGCTTAGAGGGATTTTGCACTCTTCTACACCCCTCCCATGCCTGCAATAAAGGCCTTTTTTTTTAAACCATTTTTCCTCTTTCTGCTCCTGTTTCTCTACCGTGCCAAGGAAAAACCTAACAAAAAGGGATACAAGGAACTTTAGGGGGCAATGGAATAGTCTACATCGAGATCATAGTGGTTACACAAGGATATAAATGTCAAAACCCAAGAAAATATACATGCGAAATGGATGTTAACGTATGTACATACAACAATAAAAGCTGATTACAAGATACAAAATGACAGTATACTTCTAATAAACAAGTGAAACATGAATATTCTTCTTTTAAAACAATTATATTATGAATAAAACTAAAGTTCACTCTGATTACTTTCCAAATCTGGTTTCCACCCCAATCTCTCATATATACCCCTCCTCCACAAATGAACATTGTTAGGAGTTTGGTATGGATTCATCTTGAACTTTTAAAAATAAATTTATACATATATAGCCATAGAAAATATACAGTATTATTTTATACACAGATCTAACATCCTTATATAACTATTATCATTAATTAGTATGCTACTGAGATCTATCACAGACTGAGGCTATTACCCGTAACTCCACAGTAACCCACGCTCTGATCACACCACAGTGCAGTCAGCCAGGCCACCCCCATCAGCTTCGTAGCCTCTCGCCCTACTGCAGTGCAGCAGTGACCAGCCACTACCTTGGGGTGGGTACAGGACTGCAGGGGTGGTCCAGGCAGACGTCAGCCTTATCTGTCGGGTTTAGTTTTTACGACTAGAATATATCCATGTGTAATGTATATATTTTAAGTATTAACCTTCAAGTAGGAATATTATGATGAATTACCATGGTGAGGCAAAAACCAGTAATAAACAGAGTATTTAGAAAAACATAAGAAAAACAGGTTGCACAACATAAAGTAAACTCATGATTTGAAGCATATTTATTGAAAAACAATGAGCACTAAATACACCACATCGACACTCTCTGTGCAAAGCAATTACAATTAAAATATCAGACCAGTGTTTATAATGACACAAGCATAATTAATTATACATATGAACATTCCTTTATATTTTTTGCTTTCTTCTTTTATGACTATGATGTCTTTCCCCATCCCTGCAATGAAAGAGGTATAAGAAAGGATTTAAAATTATGTAATTTAAATATGAACATTTTAAAATCATTTAATAGTAATGCACTTTCATCAGACATAAATCATGACAAGTTAAAACATAATTAAACTGAACAGTAATTTTGGAAGAGTAACTAGAAAATCAATTATGAGAATTAAGAAACAAATGGGAGCAAAGCTAAGTTATACTTTGGAGTTCAGCTTTAAATTAACTTTGAATACACACAAAATGACAACCAGGGAATTCGTTTTAAATCGTGGGCAGGTCGGAGCCCAGCAGTGAACTCACCGCTCCTTCCTCCTCCCAGGCTCCGAGCTCTTCTCCCTCTCTCTGTTCCTCTTCCGTTTATGCGGGCTCCGACTGCGGTCCCTCCGATGGCGTGAACTCTCAGCGTCCAGATAGCTCCCACCGGACTGCCGCGAGTCCACTGAGGCCGAGCGCCTGTCTTCACTCCTGAGACGCAGAAAGGACGTGAGCCAGTCCCACCTCTGCGGTCTCCAAGTCACAGCCACACTGGCCGGTGACGGGACGGGGCCACCTGACACGAATAACCTTATACTCCCCACGAGAAGGCAGTTAAGCAACGGCTCCTATAATATTTGAGTTTTAAAGTCTCAGTAATATGGTTGCTTTCCCCAACTCTTTGCCCCTAAGACTGATGACATCGCAGAATAACTCTAGTAAAATTCTAAGCACTGATGACAATAAACAATAATTTTGATGCATTATAGAATGTTGCTAAAATGGAGCCAGGTGTGGTGGTGCACGGCTGTAGTCCCAGCATTTGGGAGGCCAAGGCGGGAGGAGCGCCGTGAGTACAAGGCCAGCCTGGGCTACACAGAAAGTTCGAGGCCAGTCCAAATTACATAGGGGGACCCTGTCTCAAAAAAATCCAAAATCACTGAAATGTACACCTGCAACAGAGTAGAAAGGTGACAGGGAAGGGACACAGTTCGATGGCACAGCATGTGCTCATCACGCACGGGACCCTGGGTTTGACACTCGGCACTACAAAAGATTAAACAAAAAAGAAGGCAACAATTTCACCAAGAAAGCAACGACATACTTTTCAGCGTCACCTTCTGCCTTTTCCTGCTCTTCTTGCCAGTGGTTACTGAGTTCCTCCATGTGGACATTTATCACATCCCGAATCACCTTGGGAGAAATAAGCACCAAACTTCAGGTAAGAGAGTTGACCGAACAATTAAGATAAACCACTGGTAACAATCAATGAGGAATTCACTGAGCCTGCAAGTCCTGGTGACAGACTAAGTGAAAGGCACTGGGACAGGTGCAGTCTCAGAGACTTTTGTCTGCTGTATTTTCCCCTCCTCAGAGAAACTTAAGAGTAGCTCTCAAAGTGAAACGGGAAAATGTCTTAAACTCCTCAGTAAAACCCTGAGAGCCTCTACAAGCTCACTATGTCAGAGCACAGTAAGTGTAAGAAAAAAGCTCACCACCTTTAGCCATTAAAGACATAAAAACCAAAACTGCAATGAGATCTCATCTCAAATCAGTCACAATGGCTACAGCATAACAACACAAGAGACCGTAAGTGTTGGTGAGGATGAGGGGAAAAGGAGCCCTTCTACACCAGGAAGTACCAGTACAGCCAACATAGGCATCACCACAGAGGTCCTCAAAGAATTAAAAATAGGGCTACCATTATGGTTTGGATCTGGATGGCCCCCAAGCCCCAGGCGCTCACAGGCAGGGCTTTCGGGAGGTGACTGGGTCACAGGCACATGATACTCATCAGTGGATGAGGGCGCTGATGAGTTTACAGTAAAGAATGGCTGTGAGGTGAAGCCTGGCTGGAGGAGATGGCTCAGTGCGGTGTGGCCTCAAAGATCTATCTGCCAGCCTCCTCTCCAGTCCACCACGCTACCCTGCCTTGGAGCCGGCTGATTATGCACTGAAACCCCCACACCTGACCTGTGAGCCACCTATCTATCTGTACCACTCCCTGGTATAGGCCTGAAGCAACAGAACTACACTGAGGCATCCTATAGGGATAGCTGCACAACTTAAGGCAGGAAACACAATTCACAACGGCTAAGGCATGGGACCAGCCTAGATGCCCATGAACAGATGAGGGGGTAAGATACAATGGAGTATCACTAAGCCACAAGGAAGAATGAAATTGTATCATCTGCAAGAAAATGGATGATTCCAGAGCCCATCACTTGAAGAAAGTAAGCCACACTCAGAAGGACAACACATGCCCTAAGTGAAATCTAAAAACATGACATGGAAGTAGAGGGGAGACTATTTGCCAAGAGGAAAAGAATGAAGAGGAGACAGAGGACAGGTATAAATGCAGGTAAGAGGGAAAATGGACAGGAGCAAACACTCACATCGAAGCCCCACCAAATGTCAAAGGTGGGGTAAAAAGGGTCAACATGCTACAAATCTGTCAGAATGAAACCCACTAATCTGTGTAACCAATAAAAAAGAGTGGGGAGAAAAAGGAAATAAAATAAGAAAAACTGGATAAAAGGGGCAAAAATAAGCTTTTCAAGCAAGAAAACAACACATGTTACGGCATGACAGTAGGAATAACATGTATAATCAAACACGGCTTAACACATATGCTTGACTACAACAGAAAATGCTTGGCAAAATGAGGCCAGATAGAAAAGGTATCTGAATCAGAGAAATCATGTAGCACAACTAGGGATTCAACAGAAGAAATTACTGCAGTCAGGAAAAAGTAGTTCACATTCTAAAAAACCCTCATCAACTCTACCTATCAAATGAAATCTGAAAACACCACCCAGAGATTGATGCATAATTTACACCAAAACACTTCTTATGTGAAAATATTCAATAAAGTACACAAAAGCACATTATGATTTCTACCCAAAGATGGTTACACCTAATATTTATTGAGAAACGACTCTGCTCTCATACATTATGTAAGTTCTTACAATACCCCTGCAAAGTCTATATGATTATAAAATGAAAAAAAATCGAAGAAGCTCAACCTGAGCACATTACACAACCACCAATAAACAGCAGTGAAAAGTCAAGCTAAGACATGATGGAAACCAAAATGCATGGTCTTATCATGATACAGTGCGACTTTCTTGAAAGCAGGCATTTTTAAGAAGTGTACAACTTCATTATGTAAGGCTTTTGTATGTATAGTGAGGAGCCTTTGTCTGGTAGAAAGTGGGTCTGAAACAGATGGGCCAAAGCCCAGCCAGGAATAACCCTCTGGAGGACACATCAGAGGACCTTCGAAGGCACTGAGGAAACCCATAGAACACATGTAGAAAGCCATCAATGGGAAATTTTTGTTCTTAACAAAGTTTTACAGAATTATGTAAAACCTACCTCGGTGTAAGATTTCTTGGTTATATGAACATTCTTAGCTCTATAGGACTGACGTCTTCTTTTATAATCTCTAACTTCTGCCAGGATTTCAAGGTATGACTTTGGACTTTTCCGACTATTATCTAATGAAAGAGTAAAATAAAATTATTGTATCTTCAAGGGTTTTTAATTTCTTTAGAATTAACAGGCAGTCCCGCATGGTGGTGCATGCCTGCAATCCTAGATCTTGGGAGGCAGATGTAGAAGGATCACCGTGAGTTCGAGGCCAGCCTGAACTATACAGTGACATAAAAAGCCAAAACAGAAGGAAAGAAAAAGAATTAGCAGGTAAAAACTCCACAGGAGTCCTATACTGCAACATGTTTCAAGGTAATATACAAGGATACCCTAGAAACCCTTCCTTCCATCTATCTGGGTTATTTTATCTTTTTGTTGTTGTCTTTTGCTCTAGCATTAGTTGAATGTAAGAACATTAAAGTCCAAAGATAAAAGTGTAGCAGTTGTACAAAAGATGCATAATGTAAGAGTGACAGTAAAACTTCATGCACTGAATATCTTAATAATATACCTCTCAATATTATATGGTATAAAACCACCTCACCCCAATTCAAAATGGTATGATAATAAAATCACCTGAACACTCACAGAATGGAATGACAGTAAGAAATGCAAAGCACATCATTTCTCTCAAACCTTGATTGACTTTGGCAGCCAGGTCTACAAAGAGATCACTGTCGTTTTCAATGATTTGGGAATCAGAGCGCTTTTTCTTTGTCTCCTCAACAACAAAATCATAAAGGGCAAGACGATCTGCTTGGGTCAGATCACAAACAAACCGTTTGTGATTGAGAGGAACTTCAACAGGCAGTGAAGAATACACTCCTAAAGTAAAAGAAAAGAAAAAGATCGCAAGAGTAAACGATACATGAAGCACCGTGAACTTAGAATCTATGACTTAACTTTAAACATGTGCTGCGCTAACCAATATTAACACACGCTATGTTTTACATACACAGTAACCCTGAAACACATAAGGTATCAATATATGTAACATGATAAACAGTAAACAATGACCATCCTAAACACTGCTACTCACAGAAAGGATGTATCTTGGGTCTATATTATTCTTTTCAACAATAGTAAGACAAATTCCAGGAAGGGAGGCAAAAATAATCACAAAAAGCAACTTGCGCATAAGAAAATCTTCTTCTTGGTGAAAGAGGGTCGAGGCAGGATCTTGATAATATAGTCCAGATTGGCTCTGAACTTGTACACCTCCTGCTTCAGCCTCCTGAGTGATGGAATTGCAGACATACACTACCACACCTGATAAGAGAAGCTTTTCTCTTTCTTTCTTTTCTTTGTGTGCATGTGTGCGTGTGTTGAGGTCTTGCTATACTATCAGGGCAGATTCCAGAGCTTAAGAGATCCTCTTGCTTCAGCCTCCCAAGTAGCTGGGACTACAAGTGTATACTATCACACCCTGCTAAGAAAAACATCGGGTAGCAATTTTTCCAAGGCTACCCATATTACAAATACAGATATTACTTTGTAGATACTACCTTCAGTATATATGCTTTTGCCATAAAAACTGGAAAAAAAGTTTTTGCTAGGTAGTATACAATGTAGTCCCTTCAAAAATAAATTATGAGAATATGAAAAATATGTTTAAAAAAAAAAGCATCCTGTTCAGCTCTCAAGCTAGATGTTCAATACCTCAAACAATGTCTACTGGTGCAGTGATTTACAGTTAGGGGTCAAAAAAACCCAATTAAGTAGAAATCACAAACTTCCTCAGTCCAGAGAAAGAAAGATTAAACTGAATTCATTTTAATTTCCTAAGGAGAAGGCTTAACCAACTTAAAATTACAGAACTTTCTAAAGTCTGCTTATTAATGAAAAAAAGTAAATACAATACCTTGATATGATGTATTAAAACACTGAAGAAAATTTTTTGAGATTCAAATGTTCTCAAAGAAATAAAATGATTATGACTGCAAATAAAGCAATTTAAAACAATTTTTCTAAACTTCATTATTCACTAATGCAAATAAAGAACATGAACTACTAAAGGAATCCTTCTAATGTTTGCTAGGTTATCCTAAAGTCATAACTCAGTTCAAACAACAATGTAAAATCAGTAGCTCTTCCCAGATACTTACTATATTAACTTCTTAGATAACAGGCAAAAGAATTCAAATAATCGCAGAATGTGATCTAAGCATTTTTAACAAAAGAAAGAAAAACAGAGAGAAAGAAAGAGAAAGAGAGAGAGAGACAGCATTCTTTATATTTCTCCATAGCTAAGAGGAGGGCTGAACTGAGTCTACAGCTGTGGTCTAATGGCTATGGATAATGACACAGGGTCATTTTTACCAGTCAAGGTTTACATTAGTTGGGAAGAAGAGTTCCCTCTCAGGTTAATCAATTTTATTATAATGCTCGTAGGCACTAGCAAAGGTCTTTTCACGAAACCAGGTGTCAAAACACTTAGTTTTGTAATATACAGTTAGTTTTCACGTGCCTAATTCCTTTGAATACAGGCTATAAAAACCTGGGAGAAAACAAAAAGGTTAGAAAACAATGCTATACTACAAACAAGCTCCTCATAAACTTTTGCCTGCTAACCTTTAAACAAAGAAATGTAATTTCCTCGAAATATTTTGGAGTTCTCTTTATCTTAATTAAATTGATGTTATCATAAAGATTGATGTTTAAACTTCTTGAAATTCAACTAAAATTTCAAATCAAGACTATAATGTTGTGACAGGTAGTAAGATAAAAGTTGAGAAGTTTGAGTAATACTTTTAAAAGGATATCATTTGCAAAAAGGATACTGCATATCTTTAAATAAGGAGTACATTCAGGTTCCTAATTCCTCTTTATACTCACCCCAATTACTGAAAAAGAAAAAGTACAGGAAAAGTTAAGCAAAAAACTGCATTTGAATCTTTCAGAACATAGATAATTCTGACAAAAGAAAAAAATAAATACACTTTAATAAGTTACATTTACGTAAAATGTAAATTTTCAAAATGCAACTTTCTGTATGATGAATGTGCCCATCTATTACAATTCTGGGTTCCTCTTCTTTCGCAGCTTTTTAAAAATTGTGGTAAAACAGAATAACATAAAATCATCCCTTCGGTCATTTTACTGTTTGTTTTTGGTACCGGGGATAGAACTCATAACCTTGTGCTTACCAAGCAGACGCCTATGCTGCTCAGCTAAATCCCCAGCCCCCAACAGTCATTTTAAAGCGCACAGTTCAGATGCACTATGCACATTCACGGGAAGAGAATTTCATCACTCCGACAGCAAGCCCGGAGCAGCTTTGTATTAACTAAATCTACACTCCCTTTTTAGTCACTTTTGCCATCAAAGGGCATCTGAAACATGACCCACTATTAAATACTGGTAAAAGGTACTGTCTCCAAGTTACAACGGCAGAATTTCACAAATTCATACAGCAATAATTCCTAACATGAGAGAGAACAAGATGAAGGTCTACAGAAGTAAAATGAGTTTCCCTAATCTCACAAGTGGTGGAAAGAGGGCTGGTCCACACCATTCCAGCTTTTCTCTTATTTTTAAATCAAGGCCATACTTTAAAAGCACTTCATGAAACTCAAGAAGAGCAATTTGAATAACACTGGAGCAAAATGATAAATCAGTAAACATACAATTGTGTTTTTTTTAACATATAATTATTTATCATTGAAATTGGTGTCGTGGTATAAAATTAACTAATGTAAATATATCTGAAAGTAACTCCATAGATCTAATAGCTGTGTAAGTATGCAGAAGGGTTAATGGGTTGAGAATTCCACACCGTCAGGTTAGGCCTAACTGAAAAGACACATACAGCCTCATCAAAACATTTCTATTTTCCTGTGTACCCAGCACACCATTAATTAGATGGGGAAATGCAAAGTTTTTCACAATAGTCCTTCTCCCCTTAAAGTAGTAATTTTTTTACTCAAAGTTTATTAAAAGATATTTGAAGAGATTCTTGTCCTGATGTTCAAGGTCCTACCTTACGAAAGTGGGCCACAAAAATAATCTTTGTTGGGAAATTACAGAACTGGACACAGGATATAAAAGTTTTTAAAAAGGGTTACAGTTAAAATAACAATGGAATCTTAATTTACAAGCATGTAAGAGTTCAAAAATCAAAGTCCCTCTTCACTATCTACTGAAAAAACTACTCAAATATTTTTTCTTTTATAACAAACTAAATTCAATGTCTAAATCTGCCTTATTACTCAGTTATATAAATTTATGAATCTGAAAATTTCCTAAATTATGCACACATATAAAACTCTAACATCCCAATGTGTTAATATTGCTTTCTGTACATTTATTTTCACCTAAGACAACAGCAGCTGCTCATCACTGTAGCTAGACTAGATTAGCATTTATCATCTCTGCTCCTCCAAACAACACCACAAGAAAATTTGTATTACAGACAGAAAAACTCAAAGTTGTCATCACTTATACAAGGCTCAGCGGTTAGCTCGTTTCTTAGAACAGGCTTCTCAAAATGAATGAACAGTAAGCAGCACTGACAGGAGCATGCACAGATCTAAAGTATGTAACAGTCTTTTGTTTAATGGTGATAGAAAAATAATGAATACATCTAGTGATATCCAGAAACCCGATCAATGAATTCAAATGTAGGGTTTCTATCCTGATCTAGAACTCAGTCCAGAATCTATGCTAAAATTCAGAATTTGGTTCAGGATCTGACTTTGCTATTATCTAGCAGAAATGAGTTACTTCCCTTTTGTGAGTCTGTCTCTTCACCTAGTAAAAGGAGAAAATACTGTCTTGATCTATCACAAGTTTACTGTGAAAGAGAAATGAAATTCATAAAAGGAAGTGTGAAAAAAATCTTGTAAAATGTAAAAGTACTGAAGACTTTCAGAACAAACACACCAGAACTTCACCTTATTTCAATCATACAGTTTCTTTCCTCTCTGTAAAACGTAGCCTCTGGGTTACATGATCTCCAAGCACGCTTCCAACGCTAAGATAAACTCCATCAACGAGACTATCCAGCTAAGAATCGAGATGGAATTACCCTGACAGGCACAAAAGTGGGAGCTTCGAAACAAGAGCTCCAGGTAAGTGGCAAGGAAGGTACCAGACACAGGCGAAGGGCAGAGCGTGGCCTTCTGAAGCAGCTCAGAGAAATCCAGACCAGACACTGGCTTAGAACAATGTCTGAAAGATCCTGAACTTGCACAAGGGAGAAAACCACCCCGACTACGCCTGGTGAGTCAGGACAAAAAGGGAACATGTCCGGACACAGCTACCTACAAAGACGACTCTGCAATCCTCAAGAGGAACCAGTCGTGCTTTGGCTGGATGTCAGATCTAGGCCAGAAATCTGAACTTGTTTGTTAACTGTTCACTTCTGCCATGATACATAAGGTTTTTTCTTTCAATCTCCTAAAAGCTTATGCTTCAATTTTTAGCCTAGTGCCTGATGACGCCCCAGGCATACACCCCTGAATTCAGCTCTAAAACTGGGCACAAAGAATCCATAGATCCCCTAAGATGAGACACAAAACATCATGCTGGACTTGCTTCCTGAGGAGGCGACCCTCAGAACTCATCGTCAGTCTTACTTACTAGGTAATTCCAAAGCACGCAGCACTACTTAACAGTGTCTGAGGGAGACCACTGACACATAACAAATGACAAGTGAGAAAAGCAAATTAGCCCAGTGTTAAATGTAAAGCTTAACCTCTGTCATGTAACTCTTTTCACATAGTTTTTGGGGAAGAAATAATTTAGTAACATGTCTTAGAGGAGAAAAATAATTTGACTCATTAATTAGCTCAAACTCTGATGGCCCTTACTTTGATTGTAACAATCACCATCTTTTCCAACTTTGGTTCTAGCTTGATTAATGATCTGGAACTGTGAGTCCTTATCTGTCAAAAAAGTAACAAATATATTATGAATCATCAGTGCAGTGGTCACTAGTTTCAAATCCAAGCTCTATAGAAACATCGCTAAACATTCCAGACTCTTAGGAGACAAACATCTACATCAAGGCCTGCATAATGTGAACCAGAATTCTTTCACATCTACCTAGAACCCAAGTAACAAGATGCCAAGCACTTCAGAAAACACTGTACTCGGGCTGGGGATTTAGCTCAGCGGCATAAGCGCCTGCCTTCCAAGCAGGCAGTCGTGAGTTCGATCCCTGGTACCGATAAAAACAAAAAAGACAAAAAAAAAAAAAAAAAAAAAAAAAAGAAAACACTGTACTCAGGGCTGGGGGTCTAGCTCAGTGATCGTGTGCTTTCCTAGCATGCAGGAGAACCTGGGTTTCATCCCAAGTATCCCCTCAAAAAGAAAAAGTACCACACAATAATCAGGAGTAAAACTTTAATCACTAATCTCTAACATTTCTTCAAACCCAGTTAAGTGTCGGGCATTATGCTATGAATATTACAAACATAATTTAATTCTCACAATATGCTATTATCATTATGCCCATTTCATTAAAAATTTTTTTTAGAAAATAAACAGATTAACCATCTTGTCACACATTTGTTAGGGACAAAACCAATAACTGACTCAGGGCATTCTGCTTTCAGAACTGGACTGTAAGCTCTACAAGTGCCAGGAGTATCTGGAACACATTTCAATCCTCTCTCATTCTCAGTCTATGCTGTGTGCTCAGACTTTGCTACACCCAAGGAGAAGGCATCTTACAGGGTTTTCACTATTATATAATCTTGGTGTCTGAACATCAGATTACACAAACTAGTTTCACAGTACATCAATAAATCCTACATTCTCTTAACATTAAATATCCTTCCTAATCAAAAGCATGTTTATAAAATCCATTCTTTTGATAAGTCAAAAATGAAAAACTGACACCCACATTAAAATATTTTACAATTATAATCTAACAATTCAATACTTACTCAAAGTAATTGAAGGTACCTTCGCATTCTCGTAGAAAAAATCAGGATTATATAATTCATCCTAAACAATGAAAAAAAACATTGTTCTTAATTGAATATGTTAATATTTGACATAAACTATCAAGTTAGGATCTTTAAATATTTCTCACAATAATGTGTGAAATTAGGCAAGTAACACCCTACCCTACAATAAGGGTTATTATTTTGTATCGGGAAGCCTCATGACACACCATCAAAATGTTGTGAATTTATTAAGGCATGAATTACATGACATAAATGTAAGACAGTAAATATATGCTACCTCTTCTTCTTTAGTGTAGCCCATTTTCCTCAATCTACAGGATGCCATGTGCTTAGGTAGAGATGATTTAGGCATGTGATGATTGGAATCATAAGGACATATCACAACTTCACCCTATAAAACATAATAAAGAGGCAAAGAAAAGGTACACACAGTTTAAAAATAATTACACCATTAAATGTTTACTATTTGAATAAATGGCACTATCTACTACTTCCCCTTCTGCAGACCTCACAACTCTCAAGCAAAAGTGTTTGCATTAAAACAAAAAACCCTGCTTTACACCCTGTCCAAGTCTCTGCACTCTCTTCACCTCTTCAAAGGTATGATCACAGCTCAGTGTCTCAGCGACCTCACTCAATGCCACTATCCCTTCAAGGACTCATCAGTTTGTCACCATCTCCTTGCTAATTGAGCCAAAGTTTATGTCATAATCCTTACAGTTTTGGAACTCCTGGAAGGTCACAAGTCACCTGTCCATTTCCACCAACCTGATACCCTTTTCAGGTTCTTTCTACCTCACTGGCTCTTTCTACTTGGTCTCTAGGTCTCTTCTACTTGGTGCCTCTCTTCTCTACTTTCCTCCTTCAGATGCTGTGTTTCCTGTGAATCTAGCAGCTGATAGATTCTGCCAGCCTGAGGTTTAGCCATCTCTAACATGACATCTGCCCAACTTGGCACCGGCCAGAGAAGCAACTGTCTCTAAAAGCAACTTCTGTGTTCTCCTTCTAATTCCAAAAATAAATCTCCTACTCTCTCTATGTGTGAGCGCTGAGTCCTCTCCAATCCCAAAACTCCACAACCACCCAAGAGCCCCAGCCCCAGCCCCACTCCATCAAGGCCTTTCCCCAGCTCCCTGCAGTAAAGGTTTTTTAAAAATCTTTTTTTTTTTCTCTCTCTCTGTGGCACCAAAAGAAAACCAACAACATGAACAAAAAATAAATTCATCATTGATAGATTCTGCTAGCCTGGGGCTTAGCTATCTCTAAAATGACATCCACCCAATTTGGTACCAGACCCAGAGGAGCAACTTATCTCTCCAAGAGTAACTTCTACATTCTCCTTCTCATCCAGAGATAAACCTCCCGCTCCCTTTTTGCGCCTGCATTGAGTTCTCTCCAATCCCAAGATTCTACAACTACCCAAGCTTCCACCCCCAACCCCCAGTAAACCTTTGTTTCCTGTTTTACACAGCCAGATGCTCCTTCCAATCAGCTGTTAATGTCATTTTGCCCACCTCCCAAACTCCTCCCCCAGCCAAAACTGATAAAAGTAGCTTCACTTTGTTCTCACTGAGAATACTTCTATTTCTTTATAACTCTCCCATGCCCGCATTAAAGGCCTCTCTAATCTTTGTCTTCTTCCTCATTTTCTCTGCACCACCTCAGATTAAGTGCCAAAAATACTGAACCATATTTGTGGTCTTCTAACCCCCAAACCTGTCCCTCTTGTGTGCTCATATTTTGATGAAAGGTTTCAACCCCTTCTCAAGCAAGAAACCGCCTCTTGTCATTCATCACCCACATGCAATAAATCACCCACTCCTGTCCATTTTAGTCCTAAACAGATCTGAACTCCTCATGCACATAGTCTATCCCCATTACTACTTCCCCAGTTCAAGACAGTCTTGTCCCCCGCTGAGTTCCAACACTCATCTCCTCCTAAGTGCTCTCTCTCTCTGCTTACGGTTTGCCATCCCCCACTCCGTTCTGCACACCACAGCTGGGTAGAATCCCCAGCTTTGCCACTTACAGGTGGTTATGAAACTGGGCTGGGTACTTAAAAAACACTCTCTGCCTCAGCTTCTTCATCTGGAAGTGGAAATAGCTCACAAAGCCATCACAGAGATAATGAGTTCATTCACACAAAGCAATCTGAGTAAGGCCTAGAACATAGTAAGTGTTCCATAAATGTAAGCAGGTATTATTTTTATTAAAAGGCAAGTATGACTTTTGATATGCCTTGACAAACTATTTCTATGCCTCCTCACTGATTGTATTTTTTTTTTTTGATTGCTAATTTGGGGACAAAAGCATCACCAAACAATAAACTATCCAAGGACAGAAACAGTGACTGTGGTTCACTATACTTCAGTATCAAAACACTGAAGAAACCAGAGATTCATTAACTCCTTGGACATCTATTCTAGGAATTATATCTCTTATTAGGATTTCTAACTAGTCATTCTCCTGAGTATCAGACACAAGCTTTGCAAAAGTTAGATATATTCCCACAGCTTACTCTCAAAATTTGAAATTTTACAAGAAACTTTAAGCCAGGCGTGATGGCACATGCCTGTAATCCCAGCACTGGGGAGTCTGACGTAGGAAGATCGCTGCAAGTTCAAAACCAGCCTGGGCTCCAAAGTGAGCACAAGGCTGGCCTGAACTGCACAGGAGACCTTGTCTCAAAAAAGACCAAAACACAATGCTGCCGGGCTGGGGATTTGGCCCAGTGGCATAAGTGCCTGCCTTGCAAGTGTGCAGTCATGAGTTCGATCCCTGGTACCGATAAAAACAAAAAAGATAAAAATAAAAAATAAAAATAAAACAATGCTGCCAACAGTACTTATCTCATAGGATCATTATGAGTATTAAATGTGGTAATGTACAATAAATGGCATAAAGTGCTACTTAAGTGTTAATAGAATCCAATTCTACTGCAGTACTGAATAAACAATGTTATGGAAAGCTCTATTAATCCCCACTGAGTGGCTAAAATAACAATAACCATGAAGTCTTTTTTGTTTGTTTGTTTTAATTTCTACTGCAGCTTCAAAACAACAAATAGTGATTGAAATATATTTTAACCGCTTTGGGGAAATCAGACATAACACTTAAACACGGGAGAGATTACAGCGTAGTGCACCTAGAAAGAACACACGAAATTATCCCACAACAGAGCACTCTTCTTCATCCTCCCCCACCAAACAAGCAAAGAAAACAAAAATCAGGATTGTTTCCTCTACTACACCTGTTTATAATTCTACGAGCCGGGTGTGTGGGCACACGCCTGTAATCCCAGCACTTGGGAGGCTGAGGCAGGAGAATCGTTGAATCCTTTGAAATTTCAAGCGCAGTCTGGGCTACAAAATGAGCCCAAGAGCAGCCAGAACTGCCTCAAAAAGACCCAAAAAAGTAATTCTACCGTTCAGGTGAGCTGCTAGTTACCGTTTCTTACGGGCATCTCCTAATCATCCCAGAATCTACGTTGCCTCCGCCGTAAGTGTCTACTTTTAGGGTGGAAAAAAGTGCATTGGTGAATTCTCAGCTCCCCGACAAGGAAATCTGAGGCAACCCTGAGTCCTCAGGACAGATGACAAAGCAAACCGCCAACCCCGAGAGCAGCTCTTGACTACCATTCGTTTAGTCTTTAAACAAATCCCGACGGGCCACGCCTTCTTCACCCGCTTCTCCCTATTCCCTGACGCCCTATTCTCCTAGCGCCACACGGGGATCGCCGCGGGGCATCACGGGGGATCACGGTGGGGCATCCCGACGGCCCGCGTGAACCCCAGTCCGCCACCCGGCTCCCGGGCGCCCTCATCTCCACGGTCCCATCACAGCCCTGGAAGATCTGCAATCCTCACCTCTGCCGCCTCCTCCTCCCCAGGGTCCAGCTGATCCAGGCTCCAGCCCAAGGACGCCGTCACCTCCCCCAGGGTCCGGTAGCAGTTCTCCACGAACTCGCTCAGCTCCTCCTGCAGCCGCCGCCGCTCCTCCACCGGAGGCGGCTCGTCCTCCATAGCCGACCGCCACCTGCAGCCCGGAAGTGCGGGAACGATGCTCGGCGCGCGCGGGTCTCTGGGAGGTGTGGGCGGGGCCCACACCACGTGACTGGAGCAGCCAATAGGGCAGGGTTTCGGGGAGGGCGGGAGCTGTCATTTTCAAAGGCTTTTTCCGCTCTCTTCTAAATGTCGCTTCCTTGTTGCTGTCTCCAGGTGCGTTTGTCTCGTCTTTCCTGAATGGGATTCCCTACCTCGCCGACATTTCTTTTTTTTTCTTTTTTTTTGTTTGTGGTATCAGGAATCGAATTCACGGTCTCGCGTTTGCCAAGCAGGCGCTGTGCCGCTGGGCTATATCCCCTGCCGACATTTTTAGAAAAAATTACTTAGGTAGAAAGTTTAAATCGTCCAAAGAGCTTTCGTGTTGCTGTCCTCCAGTTCAATAACATTTTGCCACATCTGATTTCTCTAGGTAGATCTCGTCTCTCCCCGTAGCCCTGCACTGATTTTTGCTGAATTCTTTCCAAGTAAATTGCAGATTATTTGTCCCAAAATATATGCTCAGAACATTTTCCTATGTAACCGTAGTGCACGGTCAAACGTAAAATCAATACCATTAAATCTAATATATGGTTCCTGTTCCTCCAATTGCTCCTATCCTTTCATCTATTTTTTTAGCCCATAAAATAATCACGTTTTTAATCTAAAACAATTTCACTTGCTCTCCATTTTAAATTGTTATTGAATTTTTGATGAGCTTGGGACAGTTGTCTTGTACAATATCCTTCATTCTAGATCCCCCACCACCACTATGATTAGCTTAAACTGTTTTTTAAGCACGTTATTTAGGAGCTGTGTACCTTTCATTACATGCTAGAGAGGAATATATCTTGGATTCTTCTCCAGTAATGCTAATTTGATCACTTGGTAAGGTTGGTAGCTTAATCTCCCCCGTTGCAATAATATGTCTTTCTTTTAATAATTGGTAATCTGTGGCCTTACTTTGATGTATCTTGAAACTGTGAGAATATCACAATTCCCAACTAGCTCACAAATCCCTCACAGAATCATTTAATTACAAGTTATAATTCTATTAGTTATTGGAAAAGACCAGTTAATACTCATATGAGTAGGTCAATTTTGCATGTCTCTATCTGGTAAACTAAGCAACCCTTTTCAAGATAACAATATGCAATATAACAAACCACTGTTAAATTCCTATTTTGTTTTGAAAGCTTATGTTGTTATTGTTTTGGGTTTGTTGTTATCTCTTTTGCTTTTTTGTTTTTCTTGCCTTTTAAATAAAAAAAGAAAAGAAACAAGTTATAATGTGATTCCCTTACAGTATTATGCTTTCTACATTTATTAGCTGGCATTCTTTCCACACATCTACTTTATTATTTCACTGTGGAATCAAGGGGTTCAAAAACTGAGGTTTTTGTCAGGGATTTAGCTCAGAAGCACAAGTGCCTGCCTCAAAAGTGCAAGGTCATGAGTTCAATCTTCAGTACACACACACCAAAAAAAAAAACCTGAGATTTTTAAATGCTCCGTTACCACCATTGTTCTTGTTGAAACTCGAGTTGTCTTCAACTTGGTCAGTAGAAGTACATTAAACCATGCCCTGGGAGTCTCGGACATATCTCCATATCTCCATTAGTCTTTCACTGATTTGCTTTGCCCTCATTTACATTGTTGTATTTTCCCCAACACCTGGAACAGCTCTCTAAAGTTTTCCCAAATGCAACTCTCAGGTATTCCATTTTGTATTTTAATTTTTTCAAAGCAAATCTGTGCTTCCCTTTGCGCTTTGTTTACCCCGGATGACCGAGGGGTGGAGGACATTATCGTCAACAATTATTTTCAAAGGCCAGCAGCCTAGCTCTGACCTTTGAAAAAACATTGTAGATAGGCAGCACTATATGATACCAGAGTGGGTCGGTAGCTGTGGATCAAGGAATGAAATCCACAGTCATTTGTTTTACACTCAGCCCACAGTGTCTTTACTTTTTATTGGTATATCTCTACATAGCCAAGTCATGTGGAAAATGTGAAACCAATTTTGGATTCCTCTGATGCTTCTCATTGAAAGCCACATGCATCCCCTGCCCCCATGCACTATGTATGTGAAACAAATCAAAACTCAGCCTAGGTCAAGCATGTCCTCTCTCTAGGACACAGTCCCATCTTATCTCAGAGATTAGGTACAACTTCTAACAGCTTGGAGGGGGTGGGAAAAATCTGTAGTCCTATTTCCTGCTTTAACCTGGGGGGCTGCTATACATTGGTGCTACTGACCTGTTTAATCATCACTCTGCTGAGGTCTCCAGTCACCTGTTCTAGGTCAGGCCTTTGTTATAGACTGACTTGGAACTCTCCAAAGTTCCTGGGTTGAAACCCTAACCCACAATGTGAATGCATTTGAAGCTGGATCTTTAAGGAGGTCAGTGCTGCTATACAAGGTCATTAAGGGTGGGGCCCTAAGCCAATAAAACACGTGTCCTAACCAGAGACCAGCATTGTCCCTCTCCTCCCCACTTAGGCACAGAGAAAACATCATGAGAGTACACATTAAAGAGGTGGTCATCTACAGACCCTCAAGAAAGGTCTTACCAGAAGTCATCCCCAACACCTTAGCTTTGGAATTCCAGCTTCCACAACTGTAAGAAAATACTTGTTTAAGCCACAAAATTTGCAGGATCTTGCACCTGAAGTGACTCAGACAGCCTCCCAGCTCTAGCATCGGAATTATGACCCCTGCTTCCCAACAACAGCATTTATTTCTTTCTTCTCGAATACACAGGCTATTTTTGTACCATGTATTTTTAGTAGGAATCCAAGGCTCTGACACAAGGCATGACACACAGAACTCAATTAGTGAATGAAATTAGTTTCAGGTCCTAAAAACTGGGCTTTGGAGCAAAAGGGAGGAGAGGTAAAGTAAGACGTGTGTCATGAGGAAAAATGACCCATTCAAGTCCCCAGTAACTTCGGTATCTGATCTTGGTATTTTTTGTTGTGTGTTTACCATTTCACTTGCCTTCTAATTTTTATCTGTACTGTAAGCTTTAATTCTATTCATTTATACTGCAGCTAAATGAAAGTTGCCCCCCGCCCTGGTTGCTTTTCTGTCTCCTTTCCTCACCTAGACTGCAAATATCTTGCAGTTAGAAAGCTGGTAAATTCTACTGAATCTCTGCAAGACTCAACCCAATATCTGTCATAACAGGTGTCCCATGAAGTCATATTAATTTAATGACTGAGTTTCAGTTGCTTCTCTATGACCCAAAGGAACAAGCTTATACTCCACTGTCCTTTACTCCAGAGCCAAGAACTCTTCAGGGATCGTGTTCATAGATCCAAGAACAATTCTTTCCTCTTAGGGGGCAAAATACTACCTGTTTTGAAGATATCAAAAGAAGAAAAATCAGCCCCCCTCATGATTTTTAATGTTATGACAGAGACATTGCCAGTGCTGCTGGTACATTCCAGAATCAGCCCGACCAGAGTTCTGACCTCTGGAATAGCCGTCTATCGTCACAGATGTCTTTTCAAAGGACTCTAGCTGGTGTGCATCGGGTGAAGGAGCATTGAAAGGACCACCTTCCAACAAGAATTACAAGCCAGAACAGTATTTTAATGCGGTTTTGTTCTTTTGTTTGTTTGTTTGTTTGTTTTTGGTATTGGGATATTTAGTAAACAAATGGTTTTCGACGTATGATAAAAAAAAAGCTGCAACTAAATGTATGTGCAAACATATTAAATCAAAACACAAAAATTTCCGAAGTCTAAAAGTTTATTGCCAGAACAGCAAACTTCATAAAGACACCTTTTTAAAGTACATAGCAAATGACAAGCAAAATAAACAGAAAACTTGGACCAAAGAAAAGCAAAGGTTACTGCTATCATGCACATATGGTCAATTTTTTTAATACCAAACCAAACAAATGCATTAAAGAATATATGAGTTATACAATCCATGCTTTTTAACCTAAAGGAAATATACTCCAAAATGCTTGGGCTTTTGGGGCAGGGTTTTTTTGGCAGGTGTATGGATAATTTTCTAACACAGAAAATGGAGATATTTAGATGAAAAACAGAAGGATGCCTGAAATATCAGATTGACTTAATGTTTATCTCCAAGAATAAAAATCTGTCTTATAACCCCCCACAAGCAGCTCAAAAAGTGATCAATCTAAACACAAGAAGTCAAAAAACAAATTCTAAATTCAATTTGTGCTATCCTTACAAGTGATTACAACTTCATGTAACTACATAAAAGAGAACTACATTAGTGAAGAGGAGCTAAAAAGAGAGGAAGCAGAAAAAAAAAACCTTTACTATTCTTTTTCAACAGTGGCTATATTTTAAGTGTAGAAGGTTCTATTCACTATCCCACAAGCACCAAGTTTTCTTTTTTGCTGTAATTTCATAAACTAGAAACTCATATCAATGAATCCAAGGCCCAGCAACCATTTCCAGCTGATGACTAGTGGCCAATAGAGCTACTGCTAAATGAGTAGGAATACGAGTAGGAAGAATTTCCTGTGGCATCGAAGCTTCCTCTGCGAGAACCAGAACGGGAACCGGAGCGGGAGCCGGAGCGGGAGCCGGAGCGGGAACCGGAGCGGGAGCCTGGAGCCGAGGACATGTTGTAAGGGCTGGGTAAGCCCTTGGAAGACACTGAGGCAGCTTCCAGGAGGCGTAACCCGGTGATATCCTCCACCATGGAGCGATTCATGGCATCCTTGTAGGATATCTTTAATTTGGTCTTGGGGCAGGTCAGGATTTTGGCATAGGTGCTGGTGTCTTGCAGCCTCTGAGCTGCTCGGCCGTCGATGAAGCCCCTTCTGATGGCTTCTTCCGTGCTTATCCTCCCGTGCATTTCTGGGTCGACAAGCCCCCCGGTGAGGAACTGGAACTCCAGAAAGCGCTGGCCTGCTTCATACGGGAGCCACTTTTCTTTCACCGCTTCTGCTGCTGACATCTTCTTCTTTCCTTTCACACCTTCGAAGCCAATAAAGGCTTTCTGAGCAGGCTTCAGCCTGGTGGACATGTCTTGGTCAATGA